AGAAACTCTCGCCTACTTGGAATGGAAGGGGGCTGAGTACCTAAAGAAGATGGAATATCCAAGTAGGTCACCTGACCTGAATCCCTACCCGGTTCGGGCGGAGTTCAATAGGGTGGTCTACGGTGGCGGAGAAATCGACTATCTCGCTGATCTCAGGCACCACATCGCGGTCGCGTGCCACTCTCGATGGCGCTCGTCCAGAAGGCTGTGGCGGAGTGTTATAATAGTATTTAATATGCTCTTTAATATGGTGGTAGAAATGTCCGATTAGAATTTATAAAGTGTAACTTATAGCGCCACGAAAGTCAATGAAGAAAAGTGACTTTTTTTGCCCCCCCCCCTGTACAGTGGGTAGTCTGGGCGCGACCATAACTTGGTCCTCCATAGAGAAGCTACGCAATCACGTGAGAAGCGGGCCTTTTCTGTACAAGATAGGCGGCTACACTGCTGCTAAAGTACACGATATCATTTTCGTCATTAGAATGAGCGTAGGAAGAAAGCCTGAGGCTTGTGATTGTTCGATATTACTGGCATGTCCGCTTCCACTTAATGTGTTACGCTATACGACCACGTCTTTTGCGCTGTTTGTTTTAGCCCCTCCACTGAGTTCTCAGCTAGTATTCGGTGGGTTGAATTGACGCTAATCAGGTCTCTTCAAAGGTGATTTCAGATGTGCAGTCTGGCTCCGATATAGGTTTTGCGGGTCTTAATGCGATCCACCGGCCAACTTCTTCTTATTCTTCAGCGTTTGTCCCGCTCTGTAGCGGGGTCCGCTCTCCTGATTTTGTTTGTTACGCCATTTATTCCGGTCGAATGCCTGATCAGGGTGAGCACCAACTATCTTTAAATCCGCGTGCAGCGTGTCAAGCCAACGTTGCCTGGGGCGTCCTCTCGGTCGTTTGCCGAGCACCTCGAGCTGGAGACCAGTTTTGCAGACGGTGTCCGCCTTCGCGCGAAGTACGTGGCCATACCATCGGAGACGAGATTCTCGCATTTTATCAACTATGGAAGCTACGCCAAACTTCTTGCGTATGTCATCGTTGCAAATCCATGCGGGTGACACCGGCCGTCCAACGTAGCATTTTCATCTCCATCACACTAAGGCGGGCTTCGACTTCCTTGGTTGCTCAGCCCCGTACAACGCTACTGGTCTGACCACAGTTCTAT